GTGTCTTGAAATCTCAGTTACTTAGACAACTGCATCTTTGGTGGTGATCCATTGAAGTTTTTGATCAAATTCATGGAAATACTTTCTTTGCTCATCCTGTTATTTCAGATGAACACAGTCCTAAAGCTAGGTGCACAGAAGTACCAACCATAGTGACATGCATTTATTTCTTGCCCTTTTTGACCTATTTCTGAAAATGGTTCATCTGCTCATAACTCTTATATCCATGCAACTGTCAGTACCTGAGTGTTTATGCTTGCAAAAATATATATGTTATCACTGCCTATTTTATTATGTAACATGGACTATAAAGTGTTCTGTTGACCTAGCGTGGTGGCTCACGCCTGTAATCCCAGCACTTTTAGAGGTGAAGGCAGGCGGATCATGAGGTCAAGAGATTGAGACCATCCTGACCAACATGGTAAAACCCTGTCTCTACTAAAAATACAAAAATTAGCTGGGCATGGTGGCACATGCCTTTAGTCCCAGATACTCAGGAGGCTGAGGCAGAAGAATCACTTGAACCCAGAAGGCAGAGGTTGCAGTGAGCCAAGATCGTGCCACCGCACTCCAGCCTGGTGACAGCAAGACTCCGTCTCAAAAAAAAAAAAAAGCGTTCTGTTGTGTTTTTATGTTTCCAATATAAATCCCCTTTGAAATGTAAATAATTATGTTTTAATGAATGTTTCTATGATTTTTTCCATAATTTGATTTTCAGGATTTTTTTTTTTTGAGACAGGATCTCACTCTGTTGCCCAGGCTGGATTGCAGTAGTATGATCTCAGCTCACTGCAACCTCCACCTCCTGGGTTCAAGCAGTTCTCCCACCTCAGCCTCCTGAGAAGCTGAAACTATAGGTGCACACCACCACATCTGGCTAATTTTTACATTTTTTGGCAGAAGCAGGATTTCATCCTGTTGACCAGGCTGGACTCAAATTCCTCACCTCAAGTGATACCCTGCCTCAGCCTCCCAAAGTGCTGGGATTACAGGCGTGAGCCACTGCACCTGGCCTATTTTTGGGGATTTTGGATATTTGGGATTTCAGCATTCAGGATTGTGTCTTTTGGAATTATGATCAGTTCCAAGTACGGAAGGCCATCCCTGCCTCCTGTGTCTCTGGTATGACATTCCTGTTTGTGGCTGCCAAGGTCAGTTTGCCAGTTTCTGAGTGGCTCTCTCAAATTCCAGGGCCTCCAAGATACCTGCATTTTCTGCCAGGGCCAGCTGAACTATAGACACCCCATCATGCAGAAAGTCAGCATAGCAGAGTCATGCCCTATTCCTGGTTTCTGAAGGACCCCACCAGCTGTTCCATTTCGACAGCCTTACCCACTCCGTGTCACACCTGCCACCACCATCCCGGCCCTGCCACCTCCACCCAAGACAGGCTTTGTTTGTGCTTTTTTTGGCCAATGCAGTGCTGAATTCATGCCTGAATGTGATGTCTTTCAGTGGGGCACGCCTTCTGTTGGTGTCCCCCACTCCTTGTTAAATATATCTAGTCATTTCCTTCACTTTCCCCTGGCTTTTGAAGGACTCTGAGTCAGAGACTCTGTGCAATTCATTCTCATCCTCCTCTTCACACCAGTTCGTGTCTGCCTACAAAACACTACCTAACAGCTGCTTCTTCTAGGAAGTCCTCCTTGATTATTGATTCAATAATCGTATACTATTGTTTTGCCACATGGGCAAGTCATCTGGAAATAGGAGAAATAGCCACAGACCTCTGGGGGAGAGAAAGAAGAGCTGAGATAGCACCACAGTGACAGGTAATCTGTGCTAGAAGAGGTAAACATGGGGGTTTGGGGAGCACTGGGGGACAGCCCAGAATCTAGATTTGAGGGTGGTGTCAAGGAAGCATCCCTAGGCTACGTGAGATCTGTGATGAATTGTGAAGGATGATCAGTCAGTTGCCAAGCAGAGGAAGTGGTGAAGGAAGAAGAGGCTCTAGGCTGAAGGTGGAGAGGCAGGAGAGATCATCGTTCTTTGAAGGCTCCATGTGGCCAGGTAGTGGCTGAGGATCAAGTGGTAGACGGGGCAGGTCATGGAGGCATTGCTGCTCAAGGAGAGGCAGGATTCTATTGGCCCCTGAGAGGCTCACTTCAGCCAGGATTGGGACGTACTGGGAGGAGCGAGCCCAGGTTAAGGCGGCCCTCCAGGTAGCCAGGAGAGTCATCTTGGAGAGATGGTGGGAGCCTGACCCAGGGCAAGGGACAGGGGAGAGGTGGATAGGACATCGGGAAGAGAAGGTCAGCAGAACTGAGCGATCAATTGGAGGTAGTAAGTTAGGGAGAGAAGGGAGGCCTGGCGACTCCTGGATATTGATTAGGCAACAGGGTGGATGGCAGTGCCACTGATCAAAATAGGGACATGCAGGAAGGCAGTTCCATCGTCCTGTTGGGTTCAAGGTACCTGCCAGACCCCTTGAGGAGATGTTCACTGGGCAATGGATATCTAGGTCTAGACCTCAGGAGGGTCCTGTGGATCAGAAAGCTGAATTTGGGAGAGATCAGCACCCAGAAGATAGGTGCAACCGCAGAAGATGACATCCTCAGGGAGAGAATAAAAGCAAGAAAAAGAGAGGGCACACAGGAACCCTCGGGAACGCCGACATGCAAAGTGGAGATGATGGAGAAGATCCAGACAGAGAAGGACAATCACGGTGTGAGAAAGGCTCCAGGAAGACAGGCCAACTCTGCAGAGGAGGCAAGCCATGTCATCGAACAGAATTTGCAGAAGTTACAGCGGAGGCCATCGGTGGCCTCTGCAAACACAGCTCCAGAGGAATGAAGGGGGCAGAGGCCAGACCACCGAGGGGTGTAGCGTGGACGGAGGTGCAAGGAACTGGTGAAGAAAGGAGAAAAAGAGCCAGGCCACACATTTCCGTGAGAACTGGCGATGACAAGAGTTGGCCACTCGCTTCCCAAGCTGAGTGGTGAGGGGAAGGATGGAGGTCTGGCCACAGCTAGAGCAGCTGTAGCCTCAAGGGACAGTGGTGTGTTGGAGGAAGGGAGACGTGGGCATAGCTACCTGCTGGAGAAAGGGCAGCACGGAAGGCACAGTAGGAACCGCCAATTGGTGCTCTGTCTTGAGGAGGAACGGAGTTCAGAAGGCTTTGAAGGGATAGAGATAAACCTTCCTGGAAACCGAAGGGCACTCAGGAAGGGTTTGGATATGGATGTGTGAATGGGAGTGGGAGGGATAAGGAGAGGCGAGACATGAGGCATTCCTGTGTGCAGACCTCCGCCTCCTCTGTGGAGTAGGAGGTCAGAGCAGCTGATGACAGCATTGGGGGAGGGGAGGCACAATGGGCACCTTGCAGAGCACCCTGAAACATGGACAGAGCCACTGTGGGGAGAGAGCTGACCGTGGGCACGCAGGTGACACACTGCTGTGGGTGGAATCTCCGCTGGGTGCTGGAGACAGTGATGTTGCTGTGGTCACCACCCTGTGGCTGAAGGACCTTTCAGCACCCAGGTGCAGGGGTGGTGTGGGTGGATGTCTGGCCTGCTCCAGAGCTGCAGTGGTGCTGGCTGGGTGTGGCAGAAGAACAAGGATGAAGATATTATATTTGCAAGTGAGTGGTGTGTTGAGAGGATTCACCTTGGGGGCTGAAAGCAAAGCCAGGAAAGGGCTGATGAAGTGAGAGAAATCGGAGGGGCCGGGAGCTGGGAGTCTATGAGGCAGACAGCAGGTGGAATTCAGGCACGAGGGTGGGAAGGTTGGAAGGATGGCAGCGCAGGACCAGAGGATGACTGGAGGCTGAGCTGGGTGACGCCAAGAGGCAATTTTTGTGGAATGAAACACAAACAGACATTGTTCAAAATAAATAATGACATCCATCTCCAGTTTGTCCAAGCCTGTAATTTGATACCTGGCTGCAAGGTAGGGTAACAGCAGGCAGAGATTCAACTCTATTGGCCTGTGACCTAGTTGGCATTGGGTCATAGTGACAGCTAATTAGTTGTCCTGCCTAATTAGAGCAAGTTTTGTCACTCACTTAAAAATGTGTCTCAGGCCCCTGTGGCCTGGGGGCCAGTCACCCTGTTGTGAGGCTGTTCTGCTAGGCCAGGAGAGCAGGGTCCCTGCAGCAGAGCGTGCATTGGCTGCCACACACCTCTCAGGACCGGCCTGCAGCCCCCACAGTGATCCACTGTCTCCTCTTCCTGGGCCCACCCCTCCTTGCACTGAGGTTTCTCTCCCCTCATCCCAGTCTCAGCTTCAGTATTCACCGCAAGGCCAGGAGTGTGGGGAAGGGGCGAGAGCTTCATATGAACCCAGGACAGGAGAGGCACAGGCCTGGGCAGGCGGGCAGCTGTGGACAAGGGACCAGCAAGCAGCTGTAGCCTGGGCACAAGAAGAAATGACGGGGCACAGAATGGGGTACAAAACCACAGGGTAAGAGGTTCGTGCCAGGGACCAGGCTTGGAGTAGAAGCGAAACTAGAAATCTACTTGGAAGCGCAAGAGAAAAATCAGAACCTCAGGGAACTAGAGGTGGGGGCCTCTCTATCAAAGCAGGGACAGTGAAGGCTGGGAACCAAAAACCCAGGACACCCATCTGGGTCCACCCAGAACCCAAGGCCTGCAACGCTGAGTACGTCCTGCTTCCAGGCCAGACTGCTCTGAGAGGTGACCAACAGCCCAGCTTGGGGGACCAGGGGAAGAAATGAGGTGGGAGTCACCCTTCTGCAGAAGAGGAGGCCGCAGCTTCGGAGCCTCTCCCCACCTTCCTATCCCTAAAGCAGCGAGTGCTTCTGAGACTTTGCTGGTAACTACAGAGCAGCAGAAGAGAGGTCAAAAAGGGCAAATGGGGCAAGAGACAAATGGAACAGAAACGTCCCCAGAGCGTGGTGGCAGAGCTGGGGGAGGCCTCCTACGAGGCCAGGGTCTTGTCCAGAGACAGGGGCCTTCCCAGGTCCTCCACACTTGGGTTTGTCCGAGGCTGCTGTCTCTGCATAGCCTCAGTCCGAGTCATCAGGCACTCCTGGCACCTACCCCATACAGCATTAGGGTCTGCAGAAGCCAGAGTGCGCGACTGAGAAAATCTTCAAGCCCCCTGCCATCCTGTAGAAGGGTTATAACCCGGGGGGCGTGGGACCTCTTATTCATAGTAAATATCCCATGCCACTGCTCCAGTGTGAGAAGTCTCTAAAAGAGGTGAGGTCACATGAGGAACGCCGTCATCTGTGACGCCCAGGCATGGGAGCATGGGGGTGCGGAGTTCTCAGACTGGGAGGGGAGTGGTGCCCCTCACTCCTCACACAGGTGCTGAGAGGAGGGGAGAGCGCCCAGCGTGGAGCCCACAGTCCTTCAGGGATCTGGGCTGTGACACTCGCCGAGGGCTCACCTCTTGCTTGGAACATGAGCAGCCTCATAGACACAACTCAGAGTGCAGAATATGTGAAAGGGCTTTGCCAACTGTGAAGCATGACACACAGTTGGCTGCTGTTGTTAAAAACTCAATCCCAGCACTTTGGGAGGCCAAGGAGGGTGGATCACGAGGTCAACGGATCGAGATCATCCTGACCAACATGGTGAAACCCCGTGTCTACCAAAAATACAAAAATTAGCCAGGCATGGTGGTGTGTGCCTGTAGTCCCAGCTACTCGGGAGGCTGAGGCAGGAGAATTACTTGAACCCAGGAGGTGGAGGTTGCAGTGAGCCGAGATCATGCCACTGCACTCCAGCCTGGGCAACAGAGCAAAATTCCATCTCAAAACAAGGCAAAACCCGAGGGCACACAACAGGGGCTTTGGGGCCCAGGCAAGCAACTGATGGGCCTTTGGGTGCCCTGGGGTCCATCAGGATCCTTCAGTCTCGGCAGGTCTTCCCACGTGGCTCTACCTCCATTCCTTTGCTGCCTCACCTGGAAAAGCAGCCTGGATTCCCAGAGCCCTGCCTCCCTCTGAGCCCAGATGAAACCCTGGACTGCTGTTACAAATCCCCACATCTGAGACGCAGGGTGAGGTACTCGGTCCTACTGGATAAACTTGTCTAGAATCCAGGCTCCCACGCAGGCTTAGGGATCAGACCTCCCACTCCCTCCGTGACAGGGAAGATAAGTACTGAAGTAAGCTAGCAACTACAGGCAGGGAATGATTAGCATTTTATCTCGTAGCCCTGAGCCTGGGAGTGAGTAGAGTCTGCACTGCCCTGGCAGATGCACCTGCAGACCCACCTGTGAGGGCCCAGGAGAGGAGTCAGGGTGGGGCACTAGGAGGCAGCCAATGCTGTGCCCTAGCCCAGGCCCCTTATCACCGACTCAATGCCCATGCCCTGGGGGCTCCCTCAAACCGTATCCACTCACATTGCCTCTTCCCCAGGTCCCTCACCCATGTGGCCTGCCTGGAGTCTCTGCCCAGAGCTCAGACCACGCCCCATCCCACCACCTCTCAGGTGAACAGGGATGGGGCGGGAGGCTGAGGTCTTTCTCCCAGGACAGGAGCTCAGCCCCACTTCACATGCTGTGAGTGTGAGCAACCGCTCCCACTTCCCCCACACACCTCTTGCAATGACAATAGCTCTTGGTGCTAATGAAAGAGCTGGGAAATACAAAATCAAGTCTATTGGCATTGGAAGGCATGAGTCAGGGTTTTGCTGCAGTCTGTTTTGATTCAGCCAATGTTATAAGCAGTTTTCTTCCCAGGTCAGAAGTGGAGGGCAGGACAGGGGCCAGGCAGCTACAGAACCCTTAGTGGTGGAAGCCAGGGGTGGCTGCCATGCTCACCTGGGGACTGTCCTTGGCAGTCTTTCCCTTCTAGGCTTAGCATCCTGTGTTCCTCTGGGCCTTCTGGGGATCTGGGATAGCCACTGCCATTGACTGTCTGGAACTCCCTTCTACAGAGTACAGGGGTTCCCTCTGGCTGTTTCCCTCTGCACCCCTTCCTCTAATGCCCTGCCAGCTCCAGGTCCCCTGGAATGCTGGTTCCAATCTGGCTTCCAAGTCTCTCTTAGCCAGCTGTCCTCCTGTCAGCCCTCCCACATGGCCGCCCTCTTCCTTTGGATCCCCAGGCAGACCCTACCCCGGCCCCCTGTTAATTTTCCTTTTTGATCTGTAAGTAAAAGAGGGACAGAGAAAGCACTTCCATGCCGCCTCTCTCCAGCCCTGTGGCCTCACATCACAGTGTCCTGGTTGCAGGCTGTGGAACTCCAGTGGGAGGCATCCAGGCCAGCTGAGCCTCCCAGAGGCACCGCTTCCGCTGAGTCACCCATTCTAGCATATGGTCGTGGCCCTGTTGTTGGAGACAGGACACCTTGCACTGCCACTCAGTGACAGACACATGACACCCACAGTGGGGATGACTGAGCGGCTAAAGACAGGCCAAGGCACAAACCCAGCATCACCTTCAACCCCACCTCCTCCAACAAGGGAGGTGAAGAGCCCAGGCTTCAGCTGCAGAGAGACCCAGCTTCAAACCCCAGATCTGAACATGTTTCCCTGTAGGTGAAATGGAAAAAATAATGCCCACCTCACAAGATGGAAAAGGCTGGGTGATGGATTCCCAGAGAGCATTTAGCAAGTTCTCCCTCAATAAGTGGCGTTTCTGGCTACTTTTGTGCCAATGTATTGCGTGTTTTAACTGGTAAATCATTTCAGAGACTAGAGTGGCAGGTCCCCAACTGGAGCTACCTTCTTCTTGGTATCCGTGCTCCAGGGAAGCAGAATCAGTAACTAGGTTAAGAGATGAACACAGTCAGATCAAAGGAAGTGGCAGGGGTGGGGGACACTTCACCTGAGCCCTGGGAAAACCCCACAGAGGACACTGCTGTTAGCAGAACCTGCTGGTGTCCCCCACAGCCCTTCCTGTGACCTGGGCTGCTGGACACAGATTAGCTTGGATCCATGAGGCCCATTTCCTCTGCACCCAGGACCCCCCTTTGGTGGCACTTTCTTTCTCTAGATACGTGGGTGTCACTGACTAAGCTTCCATCCCCGTTATGAGTTGACTTCACAAAACCAGCCTTCCCTGCTCAAGGGATTCCTACTTTTGCAGCCCACAGTGAAAGCACTGGCATGTAGGTAACAATGCCACTCACCACATGGGGCAGGCCCCCACCAACTGCCTCAGTCCAGGTTTATTACAATCCAGTCTCCCCCTTCGAATTGGGAGGTCCTTGACCTTCCACTAATTAAGCTTCTGATTTTGTTTCATCAAAAATGAAAGAAGGGCCAGGAGCGGTGGCTCACCCCTGTAATCCCAGCACTTTGGCAAGCCGAGGCGGGTGGATCACCTGAGGTCAGGAGTTCAAGACCAGCCTGGCCAACATGGTGAAATCTTGTCTCTACTAAAAATACAAAAATTAGCTGAGCATGGTGGTGGGTGCGTGTAACTCCAGCTACTCGGTAGGCCAAGGCAGGAGAATCACGAGATAGCGCCTTTGCACTCCAGCCTAGGCAACAGAGCGAGACTCCATCTCAAAAACGAACAAACAAAAGTGGGTCAAGAGGGGCACCCCCAAGCTAATACATCAAGTCAGGCCTCCCTTCAGTCCAGCCCAGCTCCTCTCCAGAGCCTGCTGGAGGGCCAAAGCAAAGAGGACAGCTGCCTCTGATGCTTCCCACAGCCCGGCTGGGTGTCAGCAAGGAAGACAGGTGCTTCACTTAGGCTCTGGCTCCTTCCATTTGCAACGGAGAACAAGGCATGTGGGTGGGGAAAGAAGGAACCCAGGACAAAGGCTTCATCCCTCCCAACCCCCTTCTGGCCCTTCCTCCACACCCCTGCACCCTTGGCCTCTTTGTGTCTCTGAGTTCCTGCCCTTTCATTGACTTCCATCTGTTTTTCTGTGGTCTTTCATTTTCTCCCTCTTAATTCCGTCAGAGGCGTGTGAATCACAGCAGCTCCATCTTGAAGAGGAGCTGGGTGAAATGAGGCTAAAACCGACTGGACTGCGTTCCCAGATGGTTAAGGCATTCTAAGTCACAGGATAAGATAAGTCAGCACAAGATGCACGTCATAAAGCCTTTGCCGATAAAACAGATTGCAGTAAAGGAGCCAGCCAAAACCCACCAAAACCAAGATGGCAATGAGAGTGACCTCTGGTCATCCTCACTGCTACACTCCCACCAGCGCCATGACAGTTTCCAATGCCATGGCAACGTCAGGAAGGTACCCTATATGTCTAGAAAGGGGGGGCATGAATAATCCACCCCTTGTTTAGTTAGCATATTATCGAGAAATAGCCATAAAAATGGGCAACCAGCAGCCCTCGGGGCTGCTCTGTCCATGGAGTCGCCATTCTTTCATTCCTTTACTTTCCTAATTAACTTGCTTTCACTTTGTACTGCAGACTCCCCCTGAATTCTTTCTTGTGTGAGATCCAAGAACCCTCTCTTGGGATCTGGTTAGGGACCACTTTCCTGTAACAATTCCACTCTTCTTTCTGCTTCACTTTATCATTTTCTACTTACCTTTCTACTCTTTCTGTTTACTGTCTCTCTCACCTCCATCTTTCTGACTTTATTTCTAAATCTTATTTACCTTCTTTTTTTTTTTTTTTTTTTTTTTTTTTTTTTTT